ACTTCCTACCGTACACCTATCGTAACCACATGGGGAAACTTTCTGCGACGAAAGTGTGATATCTGTAATCAGCATGTAAGATAACCCTTATACGCGAATCTGAGCAAGCTCTACGACAAAAAAATATTGGGGCCCGGTTAGCCGAATAGCGCCAAACTAATATCGAACTCGTAATCAGCATGCATGATTACCCCCCTGTGCAAACTCCCAGCCCCGTAGCTCAAACTTTGCAAAAAAATCGATAAAATCGATAAACGATTTCAAAAACCAATATTGTATTCGGAATCCCCATGCTCGATTACCCCCTGTGCAAACTCCCAGCGCCGTAGCTTGAACTTTGCAAAAAAATCGATAAAATCGATAAAAGTAATCGATAATCCTGAAAACTAATATTGTATTCGGAATCCCCATGCTCGATTACCCCCCTGTGCCAACTCCCAGCCTCGTAGGTGAACTCTGCAAAAAAAATCGATAAAAATCGATAAAATCGATATCGATCGATATGAAAAGTAGCCTATGACACCCGCCGGGGCCCGAAGTGTATGTGTGCCAAGTTTGGTCCTTATCGGTTCAGAAATGGAATTCTGTATTCGGAACACACGTACACACAGACATACAGACAGACATACAGACAGACAAACAGACATTCAGCTTTATATATAAGACTAGCGACCCTACGGGTCGCTAGTAAGTGGGTGGGGGGTAGACACATTGATATCTGCCATTAATTAACTAAAAATCCCAAGAAAGAGAATTTCCATCTTCCCAGCGACCTTTCCGTGTTGTGAGTAGTAGAAACAAAACACTATGCTCTTACGAAAAGAAGCTACTACCAGTGACTATCCGCAAAGCATCTCTACTGTTCCTCTTGCAGATACCTTTGCCCAGATACCATACCTCTTAAACAAGGAAGCTCCCTCCATGCACTTGTTTAGAACAGCTGATTCATCCCAAAACTCAGATTGATTTCCAGGAAAAGTGCTATGTTGAAGGAAGCGTCAAGTTATGTCTTCCAGCAGCCGAAAACTCAGATATGTAGATAAAAACGAAGCAGTATTGATGATGGTCTTGCCAGTGAACGGACTCATTTCTTAGAACAGACTAAAGCTGGCCCAACGCCTTCTTTTGAAGGACAATCTTACCGAAACTGTCCTGTCGCATAAAACCCTAGGTCTTTCCTTCCCTCGAAACCAAGCTCCCTGTTTTTTGCTTCTGGGACGAAAGTGTGGCTGTAGCGAAGTTCAAAAAGCCGAAAGCTTCAGAGAAGATAATTTTCTGTCGCAAGAAGCTCATGGGTCTGTCTTTCCCTCGAGACCACTTTTCAGCCTTCAGGGGCAGAAGTCCGGTTTTTGCAGAGTAGAATGGCCACAAGTAAATTTCAAACAAGTTTCTGTAGAATAAACATTGACACCCAGAAATTTTCATCGAAAGTTGCTGGCTGAGCTTATGAGTCTCTTCCCCTTGAGACCAAGCTATCTGTGCTGTTTTGCTTTTAGGGAGAAGTATAGGTTTTGCAGAGTAGAATGGCCACGAATTTCAAACAAGTTTCTGTATACAAAAACATCGACACCCAGAAACTTCTGGCGAAAATATCTTGCTGCCTGAAGCCATGATTCTTTCTTACCTCGAGACTAAATTCCCTGTGCTTTTTTGCATTTAGGGCCAGAAGTGTGGTTTTTGAGTTTTGTGGTTTTGCGAAGTGAGTCAAACGCCTTAACGAAAATGTTTGTCGCATACAGCTCATGGTTCTGCTCTTTCCTCGAAAGCAAGCTATCTGTGCTGTTTTGCTTCTAGAGGAAGAAATGTGGTTTTTGCAAAGCAGAATGGCCAGAAGTAAATTTTAAGCAAGTTTTTATATAATTATTGACACCCAGAAACTTCTGGCGAAAATATCTTGCTGCCTGAAGCCAAGTCTTTCTTCCCCCGAGACTAAATTCCCTGTGCTTTCCTGTCTTTAGGGGCTGAAGTACTGGTTTTCGCGTAGTAGGGGCCAAACATCTTAGCGAAAATGTCCTGTCGGATGAAGCTCAAGGGTCTGCTTTCCTCGAGAGCACTTTGCACTTTTTTACTTTTAGAGGCAGAAGCATGGTTTTTGCAAAGTGGAAGGGCCAGAAGTGAATTTTGAAGCAAACTTCTGTATAATCATTGACACCCTGAAATTCTCAGCGAACTATCTTGCTGGCTGAGCTTATGAGCCTTCCCCCCCCCCCCGAGACCAAAAGGGCCAGGAGTAGATTTCAAGCAGGTTCTATATAATCATTGACACTCAGAAACTTCTGGCGAAAATATCTTGCTGCCTGAAGCCATATTCTTTTTCCCTCGAGACCAAGCTCCCTGTCTTTTTTGCTTTTAGGACCAGAAGTGTGATTTGAGTTTGTGGTTCTTGGGAAGTTTGGGGGCCAAAAGTTTCAGTGAAAATGTCCTATCGGACGAAGGTCTGTCCATCCCCAGGGACCACTTTTCTGCTTTCAGAGGCTGAAGCATGGTTTTTGCAGAGTGGAAGTGAGAGAAGTAAATTTCAAGAAAATTTCTGTATAATTAGATTTTGACTCGTTGAAATTCTTAGCGGAAACATCTTGCCTCCTCAGTTTATAAGCCTTATATTCCATCGAAGCCAGGCTCTTTGTGCTTTTCTGATTTTAGGGGCAGAAGTAGGAGTTTTAAAAGGTAAAGGCGGGCCAAAGTGAATCTATAACAACTTTAGGTAAATTTATTTGCCGTTTTCGACATTTCCGAGGTGATTATAGAATTCTCAGCATGCTCACTTACCCCCGGAATAATGCCATCTCAGCTTCGTAGCTTCAGCTTTGAAAAAAAGGTGAAATCAATAAAAGTAATGAGTATTCTTCACAAACGGTCACTATCGGTCAGTGAGCGTGCTCACATATAACTTTGTGCGAAATACCAGCCGTGTAGCTCTAATTTTACAAAGAATAGAAAAATCGACAGAAATAATATTAGGGTGAACGGTAAAAAATGGGACACTTACGAAATAACTGGAGGTTTCTCAAGAAAGAGAAGTGATTAGACATTCCAATTTTGACAGATGTTAGAATATGTTATTCTCTTTCAGATAATACCTATATAAGGTCATTTGCATAATTAATAATCTTTATGCTTGCTGAAATGTAAAGTTAGTCACTTCGACAAATTATGAACTTTGAGCAGTATCTGCGCAGTGAAACATGTGAGACCACCCAAAGTTCTACTGCTGGAGTGGGTGGTGGGACAGTCACCAAACCCACGACGGCTTGGTGGCCTCAACGTTCAAAGTCAGGAGATATGGCCATTAGCAGCTTCGAGAACGAAGATACGCGTTATTCAATTCCTTCCAGGTGAACGCACGTTTTCTAGGTACCATCTGATAGAGCTTCTTACGCTCTGTCCATCCATGTGCAGCTTGCCTCAGATTTTGTCTATTTTTGGAAAATATAGGGCAAAACATAATTTTTTGGTTTTTTGTTGCGCCAAAAATAGCTATTTTCCAGGTTTTTTCGCAATTTTTCCTGAAATTGAAGAGAAATCTTAGGCATTTAACATATCGTTTAGAAGAGCATGAAAACCTCTTTCGAATGGTATGTCATTTGCTTTACGACTTTATGGTATAGCAGTGCAAGTTTGAGAGTTGCTCAAAAAATCCTGTCGGAGTTTTTCACGACGCCGCGCGTATACGGTTATAGAGAGGAGCGGTAACGTGTTGCCAGAATAATAGGCGAAGGCCGGTTATGTAAGCGACGTTTGAGTTGCAGCCTGCTTGTTATTGGTGAGGACAAAAAAATCTTAAAATGTAATAGAAATCAAGCTGTCCCATTTTTCACCGTTCACCCTAATAGGTACTTTCAAGAACACTTATTACAGTCGTAATCGGCATGCTCGCTTTTTCCTCCCATGTGCCAACTTCCAGCCCCGTAGTTCAAAATTTGCAAAATCGATAAAATGACAAAAGTAATGGGCATTCTTAAAAATGGTTATCATCTTCGTATTCAGCATGTTCGCTTACCCCTTGTGCCAACTCTCAGCGCCGTAGCTCTAACTTTGCAAAAAAAATCGACAAAATGATAAAAAATAACTGATAATTCTAAAAACTAATATTATATTCGTAATCAGCATGCTCGATTACCCCCTGTGCCAACTCCCAGCCCCGTAGTTCAAAACTTGCAAAAAATCAATAAAATGATAAAAGCAATGGGCATTTTTGAAAATGGTTATCGTATTCGTAATCAGCATGCTCGATTACCCCCTGTGCCAACTCCCAGCCCCGTAGTTCAAAATTTGCAAAAAAATTCGATAAAATGATAAAAGTAATTGATAATTCCAAAAACTAATATTGTATTCGTAATCAGCATGTTCGCTTACCCCCTGTGCCAACTCCCACCCCGTAGTTCAATTTGCAAGTAATCGATAAACTTGGTAGATGTATTAACAAGTTTCCATACTGGAAAACGACAGACACGAAAACACCATCGACCAGAAAAACACCATCGAGGACGTACATACAGCATCCACCAGCGTACAGACAAGTACACCATTCGGTTTTATATATATAGAAGGATTGTCAACGCAAACGCAATAAATTGAATAACAAAACTCTTCCTGTAGGTCGCATGATAGTTTCCCAAGAAGTAGTTGGTTTCTAGCCTTTCAACTAAGCTCGAGAAAGGAAAAATTGCAATAGTTACTGCATATTGTCGTTATCTGGACATGGAGTGGCGTGACCTCATTTCTCCTTTATTAACGCTCATCTTCCCTAACAACGCGGTCCATTGCTGTAATCACCCAAACGCAACACATATGACCGTTACTGCTGGTCCATTTGACAAGATTGTTGATGCGGTGAAAATACTGGACAAAAGGCCCGGAGGTGAGCGCGAATATTCAATACTCGGATAATTCTTCTAAAGTACTGAACATCCACAATATAAATAGACATTTTGTATAAAACATCGCTGTGTCTCCCGCCAATATATGGTAATGAAAGCAAGTGGCTGATGTTAGCAGAAATGGTCGAACACTATAGATTGCAGGGCTTCAACCATTTCTATCTCTATATAAAGGAAATTGATGATTATTCCAAAAAGGTTTGGATTTTTGTGCAATAGGTTCGTAAAAATGCATATTTGTACAGCTCCTTCTAAGCTATGAGGCTGATGGTGATGCAGAGCTCATATATCTTAAAGCCAAAACACCAGGAGCTCATCTCCAATATGCAGCGATGCAGGTATCTTGGTGAATGTTTGAGCATTTAATCTTTATTTCCAACACATCTTACAAACGTATAGCACACCACTATCAGCAAAATTACTTTTAAAACTTGGAATCACAAAGAATAGGAGCGTGTTTTCGGCAAACCAGCCTTCTGTTACTGTCACTTATGTGCTGATAACTGGATTGATAGCACTTCCGCTTGCTAGTTTGCGGGATCAAGTCAAGAGAGTAGTAGATAATCAGCTTATTGTAAGGAAGAAGAACAGATCCGGGCGGTTTATCAAATCTCCCCGCTTGCTCTATCTGTTCTAGGCTAGCAAAGGCAAGGCACTTTGTTTGCACTGTTTGATCGCTATGGCTGGCTTTTGCAAAAGTGAAATGAAGATTTTAGTTTGCATTCTCTTTTTGGTAATTATAACTGGCACTTTTCAAGATTTCTAAAATCACCTGAGGCTAACAAATTCCATGGTCCTCCCAAGAGCCATAGAACATGAAACGGCGCACGATTGGTGTCATTAAACGCAGCTTTCTCTCATCATTCTAATACATAGAGTCTTTGTCTGTAACTTGGCTATAAATTTCCATAATTCTTGATTTTGAACCCGCTCTAGTCGTACACGTGAAATGCGAATTAACTGCTTTGCATAGTACATGTTCGTAATCGATTTTTGAAAGCAAAATTCGAAGATTTGTTGGTGTTTGAAGTGTGTCTTTTGCAACTTTGCATTAGTGAACACTTTTTGAAAAGTAATTTTAAAACATAATGAAAGGCCAATTGGTGATACACAAGGCTCGGCACGAGCTGGCACCAGGGAAATTCTAAAACGAAGCCCCCTTGATTTCAAAAGTTTCCTACGAAGTCCTCTTTGACGTGTTTTGCATTTGTTTAAGGCACGCTTTGTGATTGGAGCAGATTTTCCGACTGCGGAGCAGACCGAGAACTTTTCAGATAGCTATAAAACGCCGAAATGAAAACATTATGAAAATATTTTCGCTCTGCATGTAAACTTTTACAGTGCAGATACAATTTATGTAAAAAAGTGTGGAAATTTTTGGACCATAGTTCGACTCCCCCAACCCCCATGCACACACCAAATTTGGTGTCATATTACTGCGCTTTGGTTGTAAAAAGGCTTTTGTTTGTCCCAGGAGCATGCTACTGGCGACTTGCTGGTGGCATGCCCCTGGCATTCTAGCAAACAGCGGCATCTAACCTGCAAAGACGATATCCCCTTTGCTTTCCGCCCCAAAAACGATATCCAGCTTGATCCGGTGCCAGCTGCGCCGACCCGTGGTGATGCAAATTATTGCACTGCATTGCACTTCGCTCACGCTATCTGTGCCTTCAAATTTTCAACAGTTTAAAATGAAAATTCTGAAGAACTGCCAAAATTGAACATGCTAAAAACCATGGGTATGAAGTTTCGGTGATTACCTCAGTAATTACAATGGTAATTAGCAAAGGAACATGACGCTAAAAAGAGGAAGAAAAGCGTGTCGGATGGTGTTTTCCTTGCCTTCTTTCTGCATGTTTTTATGATAGGTTGAAAAACGGGAAAGAAGTTTCAGAACTACCTAATATGTGCATGATATATGAGAGGAGAATTCTAAAAATAGGGTTGTACATTGTATATATTGTATACGTATGTATACATTTACTATCCGTAGTGTTCTTAACACCCTTCACTATGGACATATTGAGCCAGAAGCTGTACAAGCCGCATTTTCCTGCTTTTTGCATGATCCGCCGATGATCCCTACCGACCATCTCCTCCTCCAAGTTATTTTTTCTCCGAAGTTAACGAAAACCTTCCAAAGTTGTACTGTTTATTTAGCTCAACAGTGCTTAACACATTGCTGATAAAAACGAATGGAATTTTAAAAGATCGATTTTTTCGACAAACCCCAACTTTCGACTTGTGGTTCATCGCGAATTCCATGATTGCAATATATCACCTGTTCATATTAGCAACATGCTTAGCATTGTTGGGTTAGATAAACTGTACAATTTTGGAAGCTTTTTGTTACGAAAAAGAAAAATGACTTTGAAGAAAAGACGGTAGGGACGCCGGGGATCATCAAAAAATCATACAGAAAGCTGGAAAATGCGGCTTGTACAGCTTCTCGCTCGTGTTCAATATGTTCATAGTGAAGGATGGTAGGAACACTTACGGAGAGATAGACAGGGAGAAACTCAGAAGTTCGGAGCTTTAGGATCTGAAGCTTTCTGTCGAGCTGCAACCCCCTCCACGGCGGTGATGTTAATGCATGCAGCCCTTAGACTGCTCTGCAAATTCATATACGTCAATTCCCATTTGAGCAGGAAAGTGAAAAGATTCAGCATCAAAACAAAATCTGAGGAGGCGAAAAAACCATTTTCGACAACTGCACACGTCGCCCTCCACATAAGTCAGAATGCGTACGAAACAGCTCGAAAAAAATGCTGCGCGAAGGGATACTATGGCTTTTGCAGCGCTTCAGAAATGCCAAAGTTTTCGAAAATAGCTTCTGTGGACATTAAAAAAAAACCCTTTTTATAACGGCAGATGAATAATCCAGGAACTCACAAGGGAAGGATACTAACTTAGATTCGCCTACTGAGATGACACACATATATTTGGAATCAGCTTGGAACTCTGATTTTAAATATGCTGTTCCTAGCTGCTTAGCATTATTCCAAAGCGAGTTATGGTCTCTTTTCTAAGCAAGGTTTGCGTGCTCCTCGAGCTACGGATGCTACGGTGTCGACGTCTTGGTGGTTTTGCATTTGTATAATGCTCCCTTTCAGGATCGAAAGAATTAATCTGATGCTAGTCCAACATCCTAGCACTTTTTTCGAGCAGATTCTTACCTATACGCCGTTTTAGGACATTCATAAGTTTTTTAATTACTCACAAGGCCAAGCCCATAACTCGCTCCGGAATAATGCTAAGCAGCTAGGAACAACATATTTGGAATCAGCGTTCAAAGCTGATTCTCAGCGTATGCGTCTCATCTCAAAAGGCGAATCTAAGTTAGTATCCTTCCCCTGTCAGATAATCGCCGGGGGCAGGCGGCCTTGCGAAGTTTGAGCAAGCGGGCAACGGAAAAATAGTTTGCTGATTTCTTGTAGTCTGCCTGCAGAAATAATTTTGGCCAATCTTTGGACGAACGGTCAGAGAACAATCGCGGTTTTCCAACAGATTAGTTGCAGTGCATTGGCCGCATTCTTGCGGACTTTCCGCGAGAATATGCAAAATTGTTGGGGGCCGCACGGTCCTTTGTGAAGGACTGCACTGCCAGGGTACCTTCCGCTGAAAGGAGGTACCCCAAACTTGACTGATTAAACCATCGATGACACCTCTGCCACCTAGAGTCTCACCTTTTCTCGGCGTACGCCCGAACTGCGTAAGAGTCCGAGCGCTTGCCGAAATTTGGCCTGCGTTCGCTGAAAGAAATTATTTGCCGAGTGCTTGCAAAAAATGTTGTATTGCTGCCTGCTGGCAGAATATGTGACCGTAAAGGAAGTGCCTCCCGCTGAAGGTTTGGCCACCCCCCAAAATTCTGCTGCCGCCTGCAGAAAAGCGCGAGTTTGCGGACCGCCTGCCCCCGCCGATTACCTGAGAAGGACAGAAGGGATGGTTTATTGCTACAGAATCATTAAATTCATAGATTAAGTACTCAAAAATCAGAGTTTGGAGGCCACACAGCTTAGGTACGCGAGATGACCAACATCGCCATCACAAAGTCTTGCTTCGCCGACTTTCGAAAAAGCGACTTTAAAAAATCGATAAAAGGAAGGGAAGGAGCACAAATAGTGACAGTACAATAATGAAAGTCTAGTAGGTTATATTGTTTGTTGTCAAGTTTGCTGAATAAGTATTACCAAATGGAAAACGGGAAAATCTGCCGAGAAAAAGATGTCACAAATGGATTTTTCGCCTCTACGGATTTTTTTGTTTTGATATCAAAAAATCTCTTCACTCTTCTGCTTAAGTGGGAATTGACCGTTATGATTCTGCAGAGCTTCAAATGCATATATGCATTTTGCAAAATACGGCGCAAAATATGGAGAAAATATCAAAAAAATTGCGGCAAAATTTATTACACACCTAATAGTATCTCACTCTCATAGTCAAACAAGAATCATTTTGGATGGATTGCAAAATAGACCGTATGCGCAAATTATGACAGAATATAGAACTTATTGGTCAGAAATCAATGCAGTTCTGGCGACTTAATTTGCTTTGAGTTCACCATCTAACACGCACGATCCTTTGCTTTACAATCAACAGTATTCAATGAGCGACTAAATTCTAGGACGATTGGCCGTTTTCCGACCCCTCATGAAAAGATTCCAACTCCGCCATCTGACGCTAATTTTGTCATACGACCATCGTGCTCGAAGAGCGGAAAGGAGAGAGGAAAAAACGGATAATGGGTTTTTAAGCGTTTGCGAAGTGCAAGGTTTTCTACGACAGCAGACGACTTTTTATGCGCCTTTTGTGCCGCTGGTATACACGTGCTACTGTTGCCTAATCTAGAGACTTTCTATGCTCTCAGAGTTGCACAAGTAAGCGGCTCTGTGAATTTCATAAATTCTCAATAATTGTTTGCTCCTTATGCATCCAGTTGCAAAATCAAAGTGCAATCAATTGTGGTCAGGTTTTGAGACTTTGACTCCTCTTTTTGCCACATTTTCAGGTAGGGTAAAGGGAGTTAACAGCAGCGTTGCTTTCTCCCTGCCTTTGTTATCACAACTCATTGCACTGACGTGAAGAAGCTAATTATCAATTGCAAGAATATGTGATGCGTTCTCGCATGACTGTAAGCTGCGCTACACTTGTAATGCCTATCATAAGTAATGTTCAAACGGTGATCCTCCCTCAAGTATGTCCTACGTGCCAACAAGCACCAAATCCTTTTCGATGAATAATCAATGGAAATTTCACAGCAAAAGCTGCTGGGTGATGTTATGTTGATAAAAAATGAAAATCCGTGATAGTCTTATACATAAAACACTACTACCGGCTCTCTTGCAGGACTGTTTGCAGCGAAGCAGATACCAGTCACGTTACGTGCTTTTTGCCGATTTGGACGAAAGAATAATTTCTACTTCAAGCATTCGCCTCGCAGATTTCATACAGTAAGCCTATTGCTTTAATCGCAACAAGCGCAAGAGATGATTTGAAGTGAGCAGATGACAAAAAATCAAGATGTGGGATCGCTGCTGATTGATGCTAGATGGGTTCTGAGAACGACACCTGTGCCACGCATCTACGAAGTGAAATTAAAACTTACACTGTAAAAAATAAACGTATCAGAACGACATTTTTTCGCAGGGAGAACAAACTTTACGTGAACATCTACCTACTCTTGTTTTTCATAATACCTCAGCAATATCACCTCAACGTGCTAATCCAAAATCTATCGTGGATCCAACCAAGGTTTGCTAATACTTGCTATCATCACAATGAACAGATGTCGATACGTTGCACTAGTAATTACTTATGCGTCATACAGTTTCATGCGGAAAGAATAGTTAATAATATATCTTCTCTAAAAAGTTTCAGTATTTTATTGCTTGCTCAACGTTTGAATTTTGCTTGAACAAGGACCGAAACTCTTAAGGCATTTACTGATTTGAGGTGATGCAGTTGTACATCAAAACAAAACCGGCAGCAAACAGCTCAGATCTCTTCGCTTTTGCGAATGTCTTGCAGTGCGCGTCTGGTCTGTACAGTAAATCGGCCTGATTTGCGGTCGGCGAACGCGATCCTCTATTTTACACTCCTTCCTTACTTTGCATAGCATCCACATTGAAGTAGTTACTATGTTGTGCCTTCTCTCGTCATTAGGAATATGTATGAAATACACCTGCAAACGTACGCAAGCTGACCCTTACTACCTTCTTACCAGCCTATTGAACTGACTCCAACTGGCGTGATGCTTTGTTTTTGTTTTTGTTCATGGTCAGGGAGTATTATCTAACATTATTTTTTCTTCTTTCTTTATGTGAAACGCTTAGAGAGTATCAAATGACAATTGATTGCAGGTCTTCTGGCTTTGGGTACACAGAGTAAAATACTTTTATCCTACGTATAGAACAATGCTTATAAATCCAGCCGTCGTTTACATTAGGTTTGTGTATAGCATATTTGACTTGAAGACATCGTTTCATTTAGACACTATCGTGATGTTTCCGCCGGAAATTGGGGAAACGTATGGATGCTTCCGATGGCCAAGTTTGGAGAATGGAACGAAACTCATTATCCAGAAGAACTCATGAATGCGCTCTATGATCGAGTAAAAAGGAAGCTCGATAGTGTTTACTTGGAGTAGCAATATCTTCATATTCATTCATAACGAAAGTATCACACTTTGTCCCAATCGGGATTAGTTCGAAAGAGAACCTGAAATCGCGCTCGCTCGCTCTGCTAAAAATTCGCTGTGCATGTACGCGCTGCAATGTGAGAAAAATCGGCAATTATAACTGGAGAGACAGGACAACAAATAACGTGACTCTAAGATAAACCGTGACCTGACGCAATAATGGTTGAAAAGACGCGCATGTCGTTTTCGGCCTACTCCGGATTGGGACAGACAGTATGTACTTCTGTGTTATTTGCCTTTTTTACTAGTATAAATTTATGTTTCTTCAAGCAATTTTGTGCAAACTTTGTACACAATTTCGGCAGATTGGGGAGGATCAGATGTGGCAATGACAATCTGATAAACGTTTCTGATGAGATGAAGGAGATGTAAGAATCCGTGATACCACGAATCTGATTCAAAGTGCTTGGAGCAAATATGCAGAATTTTAGAATACACGAATACCACGAATCCGAATAGTTTTAAAAACTATCCTTGAATCTTTCACTTCAATTGAGCTTACTAGGTTGTTTCAAAAGTTCTGTCTTATTTGCAGATTTTCTGAGTTGAAATGTCATACTTTTTACTACTTACTAAAACTTTTTCAGAAAAACCTTTTACGGACAATTAAATTGCTGGCCCAATTAAGCGATTTTTGTTCTATAAAAAGAATAATTTGATATGAAGAGGCACATAAGTTAAAAGAAAGAATTTCAGCAACTTCACAGAGTTTCCTAAAATTGTTTTGCTTGCCTCGTTGAATAGCCTGTATTCCAGAGATTATGTTTGACCAAGAAGAATCCAATTAATTTATGCACCATAGGATTTATTGTGGGCAAATGGAAAGCCGCTATTTCGGCCCTTTTCCGCGTGTGCAAATGTTGCGAATTTTTAAAAGAGATATTTTGCGTGTCGCACACAGAATAAAAAGATAATTGGCTGATGATCCCTGTTTGCCCTTATTTTCCCTCCGATTACGTGCTTTGTATCTTGCGTATTATTAGGGTAACATAGATCTTGCACAAAAATAGGTTAGTAGCAATATTTCATTTTTTCCTATATTTTGGATAAGTTCCGATATGTTGTTCGATAAATATAGCTCCGCAAGATAGTACCCAAGGAATTGCAGTAGCTTTGATCCACTTTACAGCCACAACCAGCTATGCGCCAAATTCAAGGAAAAATCGAAAAGGATCGTTAGCATTCGCGCTGTTCGTATCAAAACTAACACTGTCAAGTATTCTGCACTTTGGGAGCATGGAACATTTGAATTCTCTCCTCTATAGAAATTTTTCAAAAATTAAAAACTTGCATTCGAAAAGCTAGTCTGCAGGTTTTATCGCTTTGATCTGTCATCTTTGTCTTATTAAGAGTTCTTATGGCTTATATCATAAGTCATTAATGCTGAGATTTGTAACTGGATTGCGATTGTCTATTCTCACGCATTGAATTTCTTTGAAGATATCGGCGCAACAATCTTGAGAAAATCTAGGTCCGAGCGTGTTGGTCAAAAAAATCACGACGTGCTGGATTACAATCTAGCATTGAGCCATTTCGCCTTGATATAGACTGAGTTTTATTTCAATGATTGTTAACATGTTTGGTAATTACCAAGAAACACTATTCTATGTGCTACTTATACAGGGTGCGGAAAAAGTACTGTCCCTCAAAACAAAGCTCAAAAAATCAGCGTAATTCACAGGTTTTTCTGGTAAGTTTGACATAATTCCCAAGATGTGAATATATTCTAGCATTTTAGAAAGTGGCTTCAGAATTCTACAATTTTACTCGGCGGCGGATCCCTTTTCGCAGCGCATCCATATCAAATCTTGCAGCTCCCCTTTTCAAATGTGAAGAAGTGTGAGGATTTCTGGGAAATTTTTTTGTTTGACACGCAAACTTGAGAAATTTTCTACTGCTCAAGGAATGTGGTAGTGGATCCCGAAGTATTCTGAAAGTAGCCAGTCAGCAGTTGCACTAGGAGAAAAGCTGTGAATTTTTCTAACGAGTAAGTGGCTGCGGAGCAACAGAGTGCGATCAGAAAACGTAGCACAGAAGCTACGTATAATCTTTATCGCTCCAAAATCGTGATGTAGACAAAGTCCGATGCTCTTCTCATTATTCCTGTTACTTTTTGTTGATATCTGGAATTTCGAATCATATTTTGAATCCAATTTATTAAGCAAGCGCAGTCCCGACTTGCCTCTTTTTCGAGAATTTCTGCGATTTGCGTGTGATATAATCTTCCTTATTTGGCCAAAACAAGAACACCAATCTATAATTTATCAATGATGGGTCTAGAATATTGGAGAAGAGGTCATGCGCTACATACCAGCTTAATTTGAATCTTATATCAATGCTGGTGGTATAGTTACGGTCCCAAATTGCGCTTGTATGCTATCGGCGCATCGTTAATGTGCTTGCGCGCTGTTATCATTCGTTCACACGGACGGAGAGAACAGTTTCAAATTAAACTTATCTTTATCTAATCTTAAAGATCTCGCCTACGTACGGGAATCAAAAAACTACAGAATTGCTTTATGTTTGAAGTATTTTAGGAGCCAAGCTAGAGGAACACTACTTTTTCCGCACCCTATAAGTGCAGAAGTAATACCCGAAAATTCTTCAGCAAATATGTAGCAAATCTTCGATACTTTGATCGTCTCTATTAACTCAAGCAAATGGCTTACACTTACAGAAGTGCGGATGTGTTATCCCTCTAAACGGCTCCCCAAAAACGCCGACAAGTATGTGAATTCTATAAAATTTACGTCCCACACCTTCATCATAGCCGACTTCATGACTCCGAATAGTGTAATGTAGCATAAGCCTTTGCCTTTGAGAATCCCATATGGAATAGGTTATCGGAAGATCTAGGATAAGGGACCACTCTCAAGCTGTAATGAAATCGCAAAGGCCTCGGCCGTTTAACTTCGTCGAAAAATATGGCTTTGTCGACGATCTTTTGCGGCACACCTGACTACACAGCGGCATCTTTGTGCAGTCATTCTATCGTTTGCATCTGTCAGACCGCGAGAGTTTTTCGATCGGTAACTGTACATTTGGGGCTTTTCTCAACCGTATTTTAAACCACCTTTTTGATTCTGCAACTCCTGCGCCATCCTTATCGAGATTTCCTCAGAATAACTCTTTAGAACTCTTTCTAGTGGCCTCCACACTACTCCATGTGAATTTTGCTCTAAGCCGACCATGTCTAGGTCAATTCCCTCACACAAATCTGTGCGCGCAACATTCTTCTTACATTTGCAAACACAGAAAGAACTACTACAGTCTTCTGTGCATCAATCCCAAAAATGCAACCCAGTAACATTGATGATCTTCGGGTGAGTAGCCGTTATTCCACTAATCTGAACTGCCTATCTACAAGATGAAATTTGGCAGAAAGTTGAAATGCAGAAAGCATTTGGCATTTGTTAAGGCAGTGATAAAAAACTAATCGAAGCTTTGAAAGTGTTGAATCTGATGTCAAAAGGAAATGATTGTATCTTCTCCGCATTCTATGATTACCCATTTATTTGTTGTCATTTACATTCCACAGAAGGGATAAAATCCTAATTGTTGTTTTTTGCTGATAAGCTTATAGTATTATCAACATTTATTTTCAACTATGCTGTATTTGTTTGTAGAAGTGCTGTAATGCAAATTTCATCTATCACTTTTAAAAGAAGTGTGCGGGAAAATTCGAAGGCTGGACATAGACGTTACACTTTTAAAGTGGTTTGAAAGCAACGTTGTGCACCGGAGCTATACGTTATAACCCCAGTGCACAATGCTGCATTCACATCACTCTAGAAGCTTCGAGCCAACTCCCCCTCAACTTATGTTAGTTCCGCCCTCGTTGATCATTGCACGGGAACGACGTTATTCGTCAGTTATTATCTGTAGCCCGAAATTTGCTAAAGTTCCCTGTCTTCGGTGTGCACGAAATTGTATTAAGAGTAATGTAAGAATTTCTGGGGGGTTTTTTCTTCGCCCCAGAAGGGATGTTAAGCACTTGCATTGGGTTGCTAATGAGATGGCTCTCATACCATGCTGGATAATCAAAATCTAATACTATAGAATCTGCTTAAACACTGTTTTTTATGAAGCTAAGTGAGGAAATGCATTCTTGTACATGGGAGTGCGTAGCGGTACTAAATGGTTTCTACCTTACGGCCGAAAGATAAGCACATAAAGAAATAAAACAGCCTTTATCCTAATCTCAGAGCAAACACGATTCTTGAGCTAACAATAAACGAAATCGATTGGCTATAACTCGGTATTGAGAGAACCCAATTTGACCCTGCAGTAGGGTAAGCCTCGGTCAGTATTTTGATTCTTCTTGGTCAATACTTGAAGGAATTGCCTCTCCTGGCCAGCTAATTGAAAATCCCTATGAGAATCTTTGTTCTCGGCATCCGCTGCACCTCTTTCATACCAGGAGAGTTCAAGCCGTCCTCTTCTTTTCCCGACACTAAAGATTGGTAGAGCGGTGATTCATGCCATCCAACCTATTTGCATAGAATCCTCAATAATTATTGTCGCCTGTCAAAATCGAATAATTTCTTCCTTAAAATTTCAGATTCTTTATTCAACATCAATTTTCATAAAAAAGTAAGCCATGATATATAGTTCGGCATTGATTTGCACGTCAGCCTTCACTACGCACAGATGCAATGACCGCAAAACCACCTCTATCTTCCTTGGGTTTTCGAGATAGTTTACAATTTTAAGAGAGAATGAAAGAAAGACTGCTATTGTCTGAGCTGTGCTTCGGATGCATTATTGACACTAAACACATGCAAGCTTCGTTGTGATTAGCAATGTTTCTAGTAGTTTTGCGAGGTCAAGAAATTCACATACCATCCTATGAACACTCGCAATCCTTTTCGAATACGATTCATGTTTATAAACCGAGCAAAAGCGTGTAATACTTGGAAACACAGCAACCCGAAGATATCAGCTGTTCGTTGACCATTGTCTGGAACACACTTTTACATATGAAAGCACCTTTTTGATACATGTAGCGCAAAGTAGAAACATTTTAACGTTAACTTGTACCT